ATCAAAGAAGGATAAATTTCATTTGGTTTCTTTTCTGTAGGCTAGAAATGGGCTATATTGAATAAGGGACTATGATCCTTTCCTAATTGTCTATTACGACTTACATTTGCAGGACTAACCAGGTAAGTTCTAGCTCAGTACCAATAGTAGACTATTCAAATTTCCTCACACTCACTAAAGATCTCATCACTATACCAGATTATCAGACATCTAGTTCAAATTTAAGACTTAGGGTAATGCAATGGTGTAACTCTGTTTCATGCTTAGAGCCACACAATTATCAGTTACTATGCTTAATCATGCATTATTTTCCAATTTATCAGGATATCATTTTAGCCATCATGCTTCAGACTTAAACTATGTACAAAAGATATAAACATGCCGGTTCAACAGAAAAAGTAATCAGTCTTTTGGGGGAAAAAACACAGGCAAGAAAACCCCAAAAGAGGATAGTGAATTGGGCTACTCAGACTTCACCCTAACACTCACTATCCATTTACCCCACCCCCAACAAAAAGGCATGAAATTGTCCCCAATGTATAAAAATCTAAATACAAGAGTGGTAGGTGAAGCAACAAAGCGCCGTCGATCTGCAAGATGGTGGGTTCGGTTCCCTAGAACCCACGTCCTCTGCAATTTGGACACCCTCAGTGGTGTCTTCAGCAACAACTGCACCATCAGTAGTGCCTCCTGCTATCTCCACAGTGCGGGAGCTAGACACCCTAGCCGCTAACTCAGATGCTCTCATGCGGTTTGCCTCCTCCTCAGCAAGGGAGGCTCTCCGCGTAGCCTCCATCTCTCGGCGCTCCTTCTTCCTTGATCGCGCCTCGTTCTTTGCTCGAACCCTACACCTCTTGGCACTATCTCGAGGGGGAGGTGGTGGAACTTCTGAAAGTAGCAAAAAGGGCTGCCAACACGGTGTCCTCAGCAGGCTCGACAGAAGGGGCCTCAGGCTCCGGCACCCTAGCCTCTAAGATCGTGTCGATGTCTGCACGAAGACTATCGACTGCAGCCTGAAGAGTCGACACATCCACCGGAGGGGCTGGTCGGGCTAGCACTCTCAACTCAAAGGCGTCCAAACGCTGGTTAACCTCAGCTATCTTCCGCTCTGTAAACTGCATCATCTTCCTCTCTAGAACTTTGCTGTGAATGTGAGGTTGGCCTTCTTGATGGCCCCCTTCGGCTCAGTCGCCCAATTTTCACCCTCTACATCTATTGACAGGTGCAGGGCCATCCACCTCTTGGTGGTCTCTCTCAGTGCTGGCTCACGCAAGAATTGTCCATCCTTTACTATCTGCCAGCGGTAGTCAAACTTGGCAGTGATGGGGGTCCAAGTAGCATCTGCGTTCTCCCCGTATAGAAACCAGCGGATGGTTGGTAGGGAAATGTCAACCTACACACCATGGACTCGAACCTGCTCCAGTGGGTCCTGTTTAGCAGGGGAAGCCTGCCTATCGATCTGTGATCAGAGAGTCGCTACGTAGGATGCGTAGAACTCTCGGACCATTTCCTCGTTGTATCATCCCAACGGACGTGCTGTCCATGCTAAGCGATGCCTGGTGAAGAGGTTGGGATCTCCGGCATTGTTGGGAGACTCTCTTTAAGTACCCACCGCTCCAAGGTGAGTATTCGAGTCATCATTCCTTTATCAGTCAGGAACTTGGCGTCGGAGTTGACTTGAAACTGCCCGTCGACACACCACCGGTTGGGCTGGTCAGTGGCTGGAGTGGGGACCTGAGCTGATGAGCCGGATGTAGAGTCTGAACTGTCAGCCTCATCAGACGAGGCCGACGCTGCAGTAGTGGCGGGGACGAGAACCTGAGAAGAGTCAGAGGATTCCTCGGACCAGGATACTCCAAAGGAGACAGACGCTCCTTCATCATTTATGGCTGACCCAGAAGGTGTGCCGGTCAGTGTGCACTCCTCATCAGACTGGGAGGCAGTGACTACGCCGGATGCCACCTTTTTGGGTGTGGCTTTGGGAGAACGTGCAACACGGGAAGGTGTGGAAGTGCCTGGGGGCACATACTCAGGGTCCCGCTCATCATCAGAGTCGATGATCATGCGTGCAGATGGGGCAACAGACTTTGATCGCCCGCGTGTGTAGCTTTGGTCTTGCTTGGGTGCCATAGTAGATAATACCTGCAAAGGATCAATATTAGTACAAGTAGTGGAAAACAAGACAAGAGAAACCATACAAAAGAAAACATTAAAAATAGTATGTCATTGCTGTAAATGCAGTGACACACGACGGGCCAGGTGACGGCTCATCGTGACTATGATGGACCGTCGTGAGGTCCGTCGTGTTTTACTTAGACTATGTATATATAGAGAACCCTGAAGGAGAGTCTCTGACTAGCATGATGGTAGGTGCAGGACGGACCGTCACAGGTATGACGGTACGTCGTAGATGTCCGTCGTAGGACACTTGAGAAAAAATATGGAGACCCTTAGAAGAGGAGTCTCTGACCGTTATGATGGTCAAGCAGGACGGACCATCGTGGGTACGACGGTCCGTCACATGTGTCTGTTGGGGAACACTTGGGAAAAAAATTAGAGACCCTTAAAAACAGGGTCTCTATCTAGCATGATGGTTGTGTAGGACGGACCGTCGCGAGTATGACGATCCGTCACATGTGTCCATTGGGACAGGGGTGCTAGGGCTTTTGCAACAGACCCTATGACGGTCCGTCATAGGTACGACGGTCCGTCATCGAGGTCTCGTTCTGAATAACAGAGACAGAACTAAGGGTACCCTACGCATCCCTGATGAACTCACATCAACCTTGTAGTGTTTTGGACTTACATGTGACTAACCCAACTACCTAGGAAACTAGTAAAGCAAAAGCACCTATGTCTAGGGTGGTAAACATGGCAGTTTTGACACTTAAAACGCTATACTATCCACAGTATGTTGTAATTCAAAATGAACGAAAAGTAGGGTGGCTGGACTTTCCTGATCATTCATCCATGTCGGCATCACCGTCGGTTCCCTTAAGAGACAAAAGGTCACTGTTCATAACACCAAAATCGGATTCGCTATCCCACATGCTATGCCTCTTGTCCTCATTAGTTGAGACATAACCCCCTACGGGATTGATATCGTTTCTAGGAGGCAACATTTCCAATCTAAACATGTGTGTCTTGATCATATCATCCTCCTGTTTTTCTCAACGATGGTGAGGGAGAGTCCATGTATATTTTTCGTGCCTTTTATTCTTGGTTACATATAGAGGTGTGGTGCACAAGGGTAACAACTCCAGATCGCCTGCACAAAGTAGTGATTATTCCCCCAATAGCATACCTTTGACCTGAATATAGTCTAGCCTTGAGCATGGCCGATTTTAGCACTGCTCCTACATTGTGGATATGTCCTTTATTAGCGCGTAAACCAAGCATAATCAATTTCTCATCACCTTGGTAAAATGCAGCCTCAGTATTAGTGAACTTATGAAAAATTTTAACGACACTCAGGCTTCTCTATTTATGTGAGCACAAGGATATGACTAGAGCCACAGTGCATATGCTAAATCCATTTTGCACTAGATTGTACCCCAGACAAATCATTTCGAATATGATGATATGGAGGAATGATATTTATCCCATGAGAACATCAGAAGGGGAACTAGTAGTCCCCAAATATTTGATTTATGGTTGAAGGTGTAAGCGGGACCACCACGCCGCGCACAGTTACTAAGTTAGAATAGGCATTAGTTTTCAATTTGAATAGAATTCCCATACCATACTAACATTGCACTCTGATGGATCTTAAAAGATAAAGTCCATGTGAAACTCTTGTACGAGACGCATAATTCGTGAAAACTCCCTCTATAAATGGACGTCATCAAGTATCAGATTCGAGAAGTACTTGGCTTCGGTATGTAGTTTGTACCATTATTGCGGATGTTGGCGGAATAATTGTTCCCATGTTTACTCTCTTACAACTGCTAGACGCCACCGCTTTTGTTGACATGTGTGAGATAGATATGTTATCCTACAATCAGACAAATATCATATCATATCAGTTGAGAATTCTCAATAATGGAGGACCACACCACACTTACTTTAAGGCACAACTTCACAAACAATACGGTACTCAAACTTCCAATTGTTATTTTCAGTATATGATTCACCCAATTCGACCGATTCTAAGCATACAAACCCATACTATTTAGATTCTACTAAAGAATTCGAACCAGCAAACATCCTTCTTCTAAATTAACCTAGTTTCTACGCAAGACTTCACAAACCCTAATTCTTAATTTACCATATAAGGTCTTATTTTCTATAAGCAACCAAATGGAATACGACAAATTTTGCCACCATGAGTAGCAATAAACATGCAGAAAACTACAAAGAACAACAATTTAAACATGCTAAAACAACTCACAATACTATCTATAGCTTCAATAAATCATCCTAAAGAAATAAATAAAAGATTAGGATGCATACCTTGCGTGCTTAGACCCACAAAAATTGATGAACTTGAGGAGAAACTCAAACTTTGCGACATAGAATGGTTATTGGAAGCATTTAAAGTTGCAGGGGTAAGGAGAAGAATGAAATTTAGAAGAGAAAATGGGTCGTAAGGGATGGATTTGGGAATTAAAAGGAAATGGGTGTCGGGTTCTTACCTAATTATATGAATAAATCCCAAAGTTTTAATTTAAAAATTTGGGAAAACTTACCAGGTCCGGGACATGGAGTTGTCGCGTGCATGCCTTGGATATTTTTCTTCACCACAAAGAAGAACTCAAGCCTAGTGGGAAGAAGTAAGCAATGGCGGTGAGGTCGTGCAATCCACTGTTAATCCCTCATAACTTTCATAATTATTAGCCACAGGTCCGCGTGCAGAGCTATTGCGAAAATGACTTTGGGATTTTTCATTTTTGTTTTCAGTTTTCCTCTTGTGGAAACAAGTATGAAACACAGTGAGGTTGCATACTCTACTATTTCCTTGCCAAAAATGTTATGATTCAATTGGGTCATCCACCTTTAAAAAAACCATGTTGGTTTGTCTCCACGTTCAAAGTTACATGTTATATTAAAGATGGGTCGTCCTCCTTTCAAAGAAACATGTTGGGTTGTCACCTCGTTAAAAGTGAGATGTTATATTCAATTTGTGTTGTCCACCATTCAAGAGACACATTGGGTTGTCACCTCATTCAAAGTGACATGTTATGTTCAAGTTGGGTCGTACACTTTTCAAAGAGACACATTGGGTTTTCACCTCATTAAAAATGGCACGTTATGTTAAAATTCGGTCGTCCGCCTTTAAAATAGATACATTGGGTTGTCACCTCATTCAAAGTGACATGTTATGTTCAAATTAGGTCGCCCGCCTTTCAAAGAGACACGTAGGGTTGTCACCTCATTTAAATTGACATGTTTTGTTCAAATTGGATCCTCTACCTTTTAAAGAGACACATTGGATTGTCACCTCGTTAAAAGTGACATGTTATTTTCAGGTTAGGTCGTCCGTCTTTCAAAGAAACACGTTAGGTTATCACCTCGTTCAAAGTGACAAGCTATTTTCAAGTTGGGTGGTACGTCTTTCAAAGAGACACATTGGGTTGTTAGCTCCATTGAAGTAACATGTTAAGTTCAAGTTGGGTTTTCCGCCTTTCAAAGAGACATGTTTGGTTGTCACCTTGTTCAAAGTCACATGTTAATCAAGTTGGGTCGTCCGCCTTTCAAAGAGATATATTGGGTTGTCACCTCAGATATATTGGGTTGTCACCTCATTCAAAGTGACATGTTATGTTCAAATTGGGTCGTCCGCCTTTCATAGAGACGTGTTGGGTTGTCACCTTGTCCATAGTAACATGTTATTCACATCATCATCCTTTCAAAAAGGTACATAACCTTCATTGTTCAATTTTGCAAGTAACATCGAAGGAATGTGATTGTTCACAATTTACAATCAATCTCTTTCTTATGTTTATTATTTTCACCCTAGTCAACGGACATAGTGTCTTGCTCAAAAGCTCTATTACGTCTCACTTGTTTTGTCAAAGTTGATCAAATCAAATTTGGGTTCATCAACTTTGTTTAATCAGGATCTCCTTCGTCGATCCTAATCAAATAAAGGGGCTTATAGTTTACACCAAATTTTGGTCTGATAGTTTTTAAATTAATATTTTTGAGTACTTTATTTTAAATAGTTCAAAATATCTGTTTTTCCATCTTAATGCAGTTTGCTAACAATCATCATTTTTCTCAAAGTATTAAGATTTTTTTCTATTATTCTCTTTATATTATTTTGTCACAGTTGGACGTTCAAATATTTATTCATTTTTTATAAAATCACTTTTTCTATCAAATTATATTTTTTACATGTCATTGGTACGTTTATTACATTTTTATAATATTCGTTGTTATTTGTTACATTATTAATATTAGTTTTCAAATACAATTTGCATACACATATATTTTATCAACCAAGAATTTATGGTCCACGATCTGGAGCCCATAACGTAAGCCCATTTTTAATAGTTCCCTATATATAGAATGTTTGTCTAATTAGGTTACGGTGGTGAATAAATTTTAGAATTGGGATGCAATTTTCAGAGATATTTTACTTTTTTTTTCACTTTTCATTGTTTTTCAAACCAGTCACCACCCCACCCACTAGTCACCCATCTCCATCTCTTCTCTCCTCACTGCCACTATAGAACCACCCAAAAAATCTACATTCCCATTTCTCCCAGCAAAAAAACCACCTGAAACAATCCATTTTCCTTCATCCAAACTACCCATTTCACCCTTCATCATTTCCAGCAGTTCAACAAGAACTCCAAAAACCTTCCCTGTTTCTCCGACAACTAGCAAATCACCCCCTCTCTTCTCTTCAACCACCAATGAACTCTTCCAACCACGGTAAAAAAGACCATATCGGAAACACCTAAACCCTAACCTGTAGAGAACTATACCCACAACCACTAAACAAACCACACTAAAAGCCATCGGAGCAGTGAGCTAAAGCTCTGCTAAGTTGCAGCAGTCGGAGAGAAGCTAAAATTGCCCTCATTTTCAATATTTTTTTACCACAAACTCACACCACTATCCGTTCTCCTCATAGACCCAAAAATACCAAAAGACATCTCACTATAAAATACCTAAATACACCAAAAACTGCCCTT